CAAAATACTACGACCCCCCAGGCGATAACTGATTGGTCCCTAAACTTACATCATCCTCTTGACTAATCAAACGAAAAACCAAATCCAAACGCGACTTGTTTACCGCTTCGTTTTACGGCGCTTTTAGGAAGGCCACGTGTTCAATTAAAGTGTTCTTATTGGCTTCTTGTGATGGTTCCCTAAGTTCTGCATGGCTGTTGCGTTAATCTTTGACACTCATTTGAAATTCGCTTCATGATGCGGGTTTTTTGACGACTAAATGTTATCATCTCCTATTTAAAGTTAATTTGCGTATATCCCAAAGTGTAGTCATTTCCGTGTAACGATGAAGAATACTTTATTCACTTTTTGAATTATTAATTATCCACACATTTAACTGAAACTATTGGCGCTAATTTGACCCCATGTACAACATGAAAATTTTCAGAACACCATGCTACAAGAATTTTCCCCTTTTAATAACTGACTGCGATTTTACTTTCAAAAAAATACACCGCTCTTGCTTTGGTTTTCACGGTTTAGTTTTGTCGACTATGTAAGAAAAGGAAGGATAACATCAATCCATCATCATATTTATCATTTTTATTTTATAAGGAGGGTTTTTTCTACGCTCTGTCTATTCAGTTGATAATTTAAATGTTTGATTATCAGTCTTTGATCTGCCTCACAAAGTGTACTATGTTGGAATCCATAAGCTGTGGTGAGCCTACAGTAAAACAAAACTTATCCAAACCATCGATAACAAGATGTGATCCTTAACAAACAGACACTGTTATATATTAAATGTCAGTCTCGCAACAAAGTATAGCCGATACGCCTTACATTTTGAAAGCAAAACACATCCATCTCACCGACAGAACAACGACTTCATTATCCAGCGAGACAACTCAGCAAAGCTTTTAATATCTGACTAAGTAAAACAGGGAAAGAAATAAAAACTGAAGGAGATATGATAAGAACAGTCACTGATCTTAGTTCACTTTCGATTAGTTTTGCTTCTTGAAACCAAACACCTCCATTTCACTGACAGAAAAATTCCCACTTCCCGTTAAAAACGTTTGAGCATCCTGACCTGTAGGGCACTGATAAGTGTTGCCAAGGTTTGCATAGCAGTTGCCACAATTCGGTGCATTGGCGACATAAAGATCGTGGTTTCCTCCAAATGTTGGCCCATAGTTACTATGGCAATAAATGGAGTTTGATTCATTTCCAGGTGTCAGAGAGATCTTTGTTGGTGGAAGACCACCTGGGTTTACAAGACTGAACAGGAACGATGTTAGTGCTCTTTTGAACGATCCAGAATCTAATGAAAAAGAATACATAAATGGATAAATGAGCGATAGCTTTCATCTGGCGCCAATATTTGCATGGATATTTGTTCGTGGACATCATTTGTTCCGATATTTTCGCACCAAATAGAGGCTACTGTGTTTATTATCATTGTAATATCTTTGCAAGGCGCGAGAAAAAAGTGTTTTTGAGGTCTAAGAACAGTTTATAATATACTGTTAGCTGCGCGAGAAATTCACTTTTCTTTTTCCAACAAACGCTTCTCTTCTTCCGACAGCAAAACGATCTCTCATCTTGACAGGGTGAGATAAGAGAGACAGAGAGAAAGAGAGAGAATCTTTCTCAGACGAACATCCGACTGTATTTAAGTCCTAGATGAGATACAATGAAATATATGAAGTTCATATATTTTGTACTGCGGTATTAGATATATATGATGCACGATCCTCGCAGTAGATAGCGCTATTTAAGCAATAGCAAAAATCAGACCTGAAAAAAATCAGGCCCG